CCATACTCTTCACTGATGAGTCCTGTTACTGTGTGGACTTTCTTGACAGATGCAGAAGAGTTTGGAGATGCCCTGGTGAGTGCAATTTGCCTCAGAATGTCATTAAACATGATTGCTTTGGAGGAGGCTAAGTCATGGTGTGGGGAAGCATCTCAATTTCAGGCTGTACTGACCTTGCAATCATCCAAAATGGAAGTCTCACTGGCCTAAGATACAGAGAAAAGATCCTTTCATCCATATGCAGGTGCAACATGGCCAAACTTCCTATTTATGGATGACAATGTGCATCCACACTGTGCAAGGGGAGTGACTGCCTTCCTGGAAGCTGAAGGAATTCCCAGGATGGAGTGGCCAGCTAGGTCTCCTGACCTCAACCCAATAGAGGAAATCTGGGAGCAGCTACAGACAAGGTTACAAGCTCATCAAGCCCAATCAGGAACACTCCAGGACCTGGAAGCTGCCCTTATTCAAGAATGGCAACATATTCTGCAACAATGATTGGTTAATCTGATCATGAGCTTGTGCAGATATTGCGTAACAGTCATTACTGCTCAAGGTGGTCAAACAGACTATTGAAATCATCTTGACTGTGAATAGGACACTTCTTTCAATGACTGTTGATTTAAAAATTTCTCTTGTTAATACTGTACCACAGGGTGCATCAGTTCCTCAGGCTCTGTTATCCAAGTTAAATGTTATAGAATTTAATAAAGTGTAAAAATGACTCGTCCAGGTGTTTTTCTTCCTAAGATGTTTAATCTATACATACCATTGTGGTAGGTATTTGACATATACTCAAAATAAAACATGATTCCTAGCAAATGTGGACTACTGTATTACAGTTTTGTGTTACAAAGATAAGGATTATAAATTTGAAAATGAGAGGTAAAATACAAAAAGCTGCATGTAACTGGCAGAAAAAAATAGTAAGCCAATTTTAGAGTTTAATGTAGAAAATTCCAATCGGTAGTAGATCTCATACCCCACTACACAGATTGCAGTGAAGGCTTATCAATATTAGGATATTTACAGGACAAATATGAGGAGTAATTGTTTAATAATTTTTACTTCATATTCAAGTAAATACAAAGCAGTTAAATAACTGCCACAAACTGTGACATCAAGCATAGAAAGAGTTACAACTGTAACTGTCATAGAAACAAATATCCAGCAGGTGTAGTCTGGAACACCAAGAGCACATCAAAACTCACACAGAATATTATCATTTACTTCTTATATAAAAACCCTACAATGCTAGTAGATTAGACCCTAAAAGGTGAGTAACTGAGGTAGAAGCAAAGAAATTCATGTAGTTGTTTTATGTTTTAGACAAGTACAATAAGGAAACATAATAATTGGAATTATTTAAGGAAGTAATTAACAATTCACACGAGTCTCTCTCAAATATAATTTCTTCATTCAAGTCATATTAATTCTAAAAATAATTAGTTTTTCCACAACAATTTTATGGCAGCCACCAATACAATAGCATTCACTAATAGTTCAGAAAATACAATTTAATAAAAAATACTAAAACATATACCAAACATTATGGCTTTACAATAAATCTTTCACCATAGACAATACTTAAGAGCTTTTATCAGCATCACATTTCTTTACTTTTAAGAATTAATGAAATTGTTAAAACATATAACCCTTTCAAAAACAAAAGTACACCAGTACCAAACAAATTAATATATGAACATGCAGTATTTATCATGTAATACAAAAAATGGCATGTTAAGGCACCATAGATAACATTGAAAATAACTACTTGTGTTTTTCTTAATCTTATGAATATATTTGTTTTTCAATTACAAAAACATTGCAAGTAAACAGTATTCTTAAAGATTTTCATATTTGTTAAAAAACATGTTTAGCATGGAAGTCCAACCTGAAAACTGTAGAGGCGAACTTTTTGAATAAACATATGTACATAAAGACCCAATTTATATCACATCATTGTAGACATAACACTTCATCAGATATAATGGTACTTAGTTTTTAACAAAGAAAAATACTAGAAACTATAGAACATTAAGTTTGGCCAACATTTTATATACACTTGAGCTACAGCCCACAGAAGAAATACTCAACAACAATATTGTAGTATTTTTCACTTAGGAGGTTTGAACTATTAAAATACAACAGTTTAATAAATGAAAATTTTCCTTTAGGAAGATAAAAGTACTAACTTCTCTAATATACTATTATTAAAGAAACAGACTTCTTTAAACATAAATGATTTTACATGATGTTTTAAAAAATAATTCTGCCACATTCAGTTATTCTTTTATGAAACCCCTCCAACTAATAACACTACAACTAAGACAGTGTAACAACCTTATTTTTAGTTAGAAAACATCATTTACTACAACACATCCCACTATTAACTCTTTTGTGCTACATAAAATAACACTTAAAACTATGTACGAGTTCTACTCCTGTTCTTAAGAAATGAGAAATGAAACTATACTAAAGTTGTTAGAAATCCTGCTATATGCAAAATCATTACTGTTCATCAACCTTGAAAATAACAGTTAAAACTATGTACGAGTTCTACTCCTGTTTAAGAAATGAGAAATGAAACTATACTAAAGTTGTTAGAAATCCTGCTATATGCAACAATTGTGATTGGAAAAAAAAATCATTACTGTGCATCAACTTTGAAAAATAAGAAGTTTGAATTTCAAATAAAATAAAATAAATTAACTTCTTAATAAACCAGAATTATGTTAGCAAGAGAATCTAGCTTATACAGTTATATAAGGCTAATTTTACATTGTACTGTGATACACCTGAGAAATCAGTAACCATACAACAGCAAGACATTGCTAGTCATCCTGTGTTTCTCAAAGACTATATGTGTACATACACACACTTTCTGGCCCAAACAAATGCATTTTGTCTACTGTATGCAAAGTCAACAAAATCAGTTGTTCAACACCAGAGTTTGTTAGATTGGTTCAGCCAAACCAAAGAAATGAGTTCAGATGACATTCAGCGTTGTTTTGTGAGACAGAGTAATCATAACTGAATACCTAAAAAACAAAAACACTAATGGGAAAGTTATTACTAGATCTTCAACTAGTAAGGTCTTGAATCTTGAACAATATAATCTACAACTAGATCTTCAGTAGTGTAGTGATTTACAACTTTATTTCTATAGATCCTGCTATATTAACATGAGCACCCCCAAAATTAGTTTTGAAGACCAAAATACTTATAATACTTTCCCATGCCTATAGTATAAATATCAGCATTGTGAAGCTCAGAATTATAGAACATGCTGAAGAGAAAAGGCACTCGTGATATTTCATCTTTTACATGAGGGCATATAATTAGGCATTCTGATTGTGAGAAAAACAAGAAGTAGATTTTCAGAGATTTTGAACTTTCGAATCGGTATGTGCACAAGATTATTATTAAGTATCATCAGCTGCACGATATCAGATCGGCTTCTCAACCTTTCACAAAAATAAAAAGCAAAAACTATGGGCCAGGTAAATTTCTTACAGATCTCTACAGCTTTGAAGGGCAATACTGCTCTCAGATGACTCTTACTTCCAGGAATGTAATTCAAATAGAAGCATTTGGATATGTAGGAAGGCTGGTTATGTATTGTGGAAAAAGTGCTTAAAGACAACAGTGAATGAAGGTGGCTGCAATATCAGGGTCTTAAGGTGTGATTTCACACAGTGGAAAGACTGGGTTGATGTGTTCATACAGGGATGTCTCAATTCAGCAAATTACATTGCTAAACTTCAGAACCACCATCTCATACCATTGCTCTGCCAAGGGGTTGTGTAGGCTGTATTGCACCATCTGCAGAAAGATTACACCACATGCCATACATTAAAAATTACCACTACCTGGAAGAGACAAAAGGGATTGAAGCAGAACCATGAACTCCTCAGAGTTCCAACATAAATCCTACCAAACACATCTTGGAAAACACTGATAGACAATTGTAAAAAAGTGAAAGAACCATGGTTCAAAATTCATGGAACTGTAACAAAATCTGGACCAGAGTGTAATACATAATCTCACTGATTCCATGCCTGCATGGGTTCAAGCCTTGCATAGTGGATTAGGCCAAGCTATTAGATATTGATGTGTTTGCATCTGCTGATTTTAGGACATGTGTTGCAGTTTGTCATAAAAAATGTCTCTTCTGTTTCAATGCTGCTTATGTTGATACTGCAAGGCACTGTACTTTAACAGCAAAAGTACATACAATTTTATTATTTGTATCTACAAATGAAGCTAGGATCTGCAATTAGGTTTCTATTAACTTGCCAAAAAAAAAAAAAAAAACATTTTTACCATTTGTACTATAAAGTAATACACGAATAGTGTAGATATGCTTTACTTTAGTACTTTTCAAAATGAAATTGATAATTATGGAAGTTACAGAAAGGCATTTAATTAACAAGCTAAGCTTGTGGAATGTTTGCTCTGTGTATTGTGAAGTGTTTTGAAATAATTGTGGTGAAATACACGCTAAGATTTGAATTTCAAAGTGAGAGAGTACTTTGTTTTTACATTAGATTTTAATTTAATCTTAACTTGTGGTTATTTTCCTTTAGTGTTCAACTTTACTTGACTTCAGCCTATATGGGGAGTAGAGCACACAAATTAAAAGCAGATTTTCATTAAAGTCTTTATTAGTAGCCCTTACTAGTCACACATTTGCTTTTTCTAAAATACACAGGAGCATTTGCTCGTATCTCTCATACAATAATAAAAACAATTTTTGGATTTTATTGTGTATTCTCAGAATACACAGCAACTAGTTAATATTATTATAAAAATAATTACAAAAAAAAAGAGGTTAGGCCTGATAATGGCAGGATGTTCTTGAATCTTAGGATTTAAGGTGTATGTCCTTTCATTAGGCAATGGATAGATTGTGAGAAAAAGACCAGAAACAAATCTACACACAAAATGATATTTAATGACATTTCACAATTTAGAATACACTGTAAACAGTACAGTGAAATTGTTACTACAAGATCAGCTAGCTAAAATTATAAAGCTGTTAAACTGTACCACCTCTTAAACAAAACAAACAACTAATATGGTATAATGCTACATTAAATACATTTTAAATTATAAAATACTCTCATCTACATTTGTTCTTAAAACAAAACAATATATAAGATCTGCTTATTAAACACTTGATTCATAAAAACTGAGATTATCTGCTCTGGTCTATGATGAAAGAAGAGAATTAACTGCTTTCAGAGAAAAATGTTTAATGCATGGTTCATTTTTTTTTAAACATGCATATAAGAATATACTCTCAATCCGTGAAAACAAGATCCACAGAAACTTTAATGCTGCCACAAAAGCTATCTAACAAGTCAATTGTTTCTTTGATAACAGACACCATTCTAAGATCACACATTACACTTCTGAAGACATAACTATGTAACAGAAAACAAAACTTAAAATAATCACCAAAATTTAATAAGATAATAATCTGGATTTTAAAAACATGTTAAATGTTAATCCATCCATTTGTTATCTAATTAAAAATTTCCATAAAAATTAAATTAGATATAAATGAGTTATGATTTCAGAACCAGCACTACCTATTAAGGTTGTTAGGTTGAAATAAGACAGAAAATAATTATATAGTAGAGGTACTACTCATATATACAACATTCAGTATCAATAAAAGCCATATGAAAACATTTCTAGTCTTTCAACTCGCATGATCATCTAATTTCATTGGCTTATCAAAATGGTGGGCATAACTGGAAGCAGGAGTGATAATTTCATATGAAAAATAATAAAAGATCTGCTAAACATGTACATAGATCACTCAATTTGTAAAATTGCAATCAGATCATTTTCATAACACTGAAAAAACAAACAGGAAATATCAAAAAACAAATATTAACTACATGTATATCAAAATCAACACATTTATTTATTTATGTAAATTGTTCTTTCAATATCTGCAATAAGAAGAAAATCTGGGTTTTCAACACATTTTTATGTTTTTAATAAATACTGAGTTTATAAATATAAAAAAACAAGTATATTAATTATGATTGTACTTCAAAGATGCTAAAGAGACTTCTCCATCTCTGTAGCCTACTTCGTGCCAACAAAGATACACTGTGTGGATTACAAAATTCTCAGCAACTTCTAGAAATATTACATAATAATCTCTTTATCGTTTCTTACAGATGTTGGTACTGTATTAATTATATGCTACTTGAAATTGTGAAAACTGTTTTAAGTACTGAAACTCATTCCAAGAAATTAAATAATTAAAACTAATTTATGTTCATTCTCTACCTTTACATATCTTATAACTACATAAATTTCATTAATAGTTCCACTTAAAATAATAACCTAGACAATATTGTCAAATAGACATATAATAACTGTTAAATTATTTTTAAATATATCTATTTAGTTTTAAAGTAATCCAAAAACTTGCATTATATGTATCACAATATTTCAATAACAGACAAACATTTGAAAACAAATTATTAATCTCTAAAGTAAGATGGAAAAAATTAAAGTGCAAAAATATAATAAGCAGATCATTAAATATTTTCAAAACACAAAATGACACTTCAAAATAGGATAAATAAAAGAATAGCATAATTTCCATTGTACATCAGTACCTGTAAAAATTGGGTACTCATTTTACTCTTCATGTTTCTGAAATGTACTAACTAGTAGATGCCACCAGTATCCATTCTTTCCCCAACAACAAAAAAGCAACATTACAAATTCATTATGCTTAATTACATTTAGTTTTACTTCAATAATTTAATATTCTAAGTACAGTACATTACTCAAGAATATCATTTATCTTGTGTTACAACTTAAACAAAATGTAATGATATTTAAACCTGACCAAAGGAGTGATTATGTTAAAAATGAAAAATTAACAAACTAGTTCCACACAGAGACTATAATATATCAAAAACTCATAATTCATCCAAAACATTTCATAGGGATTTTCATGGAACTTACACAGAAAACTTTGTGAAAAAACGTTGAAAATATGAATAATATATAAAACACATTCCATGCAGCTACCTGAAAATGGACACTACATGGGTGTATAAATTTTAATCTTCCTATTAAACTTGCCAGATATGTCTTATGGTACAAACAGATACTTAAGAAACTTTGCATCTCTCACCTCTAATGATTTCTAAATCAGAAATCAAGTTTGTATAAAATTAGCAATAAAATAACAATGTACTTAAAATTTTTGATATTTTAGAAACAAAATGTATTGAAATACATCTTTATCTAGAAGTTTTGCACTAAGAAATGTTCAAAATCTCATTAGACAATGAAACTTAAAATTAAAAACTTTTTTAATTTTACATCATGGTCAATTAGTGGAACATTTAAAAGAGGCCTAATTTTAAAATAGTTGGATAAAAGTGAGCAAAAAGTTTGGAAAAATTTATGAGGAATAAATCTTTTCTTTACATTTCAGCCTTGGGGAAAAAAAGCAAAGAGATAGGTTAGTGGGTTTTTGGTTAATATTTTAAGCGGATATTCATATTTTCTAGGTTGAAAAAATCATAAGTACTTTTTACTGCATTGGGTAGAGGAAAGAATTGGACATTTTAAGTGCTACTAATAATGAATATTAATATTTTCAAGTAAAATGGACAGCATAACTCTCGCTTAAACAGCTTTAAAATCATTATGCACAGTTGGTGAAAGTACAAGTTATAACAAATAACTTGACAATTTTTTCATGTAAAAACACACACAAAAGTTTTAAAATGTTACACAGATGCTTTCTTTACTTTAAGCATTCACTATAGTACCCCATACATCACAAACCAAGGCAAGTTATCAAACTAAAAAGACTAAAATATAAAACACACCAAACAGGATGAGAAAAATTGCAGTATATAAGGTGTTTATAATATCTACAAGTTCACTATCAAATGTAGATATGTAAATGTCAATACAAAAAAAAAGAATTTTCCCTTGTATTCAATTTTCTTTAGTATCAATATGTTGTAGATTTATTTTCACTGCTTTCTAAAGACAAACAAAAACTTTACTAACTCTCCAAGTATTAAACTATAAAACCACATACTGACTTTTCCCCCCTAGTATATAAAATTTATATACCACAGAAAACCTGGGTTTCTCAACAGACTCACTCAAATCAACTTATAACTGCTGCTCATTTATACTAGTACAGGTATTGTGCAACAACTTTAAAGTTATAAATGATGCATCAAAAAACCTTCATTAGAACACCAAATTACATGCTTGATGCTACAGATCTATTCCTAACTTTATCTTCTTTTTACAAGTTGAATAAGCATTCTAAGGGGGTTGGAAGAAGTCAATTAAATTCATTTTTTGTTTTACAAACAAGTCAGAGGAAGCTTTACCATCCCTTTAAAGAAGTATGTATTAATTCAATGAAGTAAAGGCAGATGTGCACACATACATTTTGTGCTAACCTGAAAATATCTTCAGGTTTGGTTCAAAACTTAAACAAATAAAACCAAAATGTTACACAACAAAAAAATTATTTGAAATTTGCACAAATGTCGATGTATTACTTTTGAGGAGGAAATGACACTGAAAGTAAAGCTAATGGTAGAAGAGCTCCAATGTCCAGAAATGCTGCACAATGTTAGATGGTGCTAAAGACCACAAGTTCCAATACAAAAAAAAACACTTTTAACTCTTGTGTATATTAAAACACCATAACCTTTTATCAAATGAAGAAAAAAAAAACACCAAAAAAGTTTCTAATTTAAAGGCAGCAATTTGTTTTTTAAATAGACATAATCCTTTAGTTACTACCTAGGTTTATGAATATAAAATACCACAAGTCACACTATTTATAGGTAAAAAAACAGTTTGGCAGGTAAGACTTAAAACTTTGTGACAAAATAAAGATGGTTCAGTAAGCCAAAAGATCATCAGAAGTTATTAATTCCACAACTACCTTTCCAGGTTTTTTTACACCTTTTTCATTTTTCCTTCCAAAGAGGTCGGCTTCATGAATAACAGTTTCTGTTGATAGTGGTGCCATGAAGATTGCCTTGCCCATATAACTGTCCATCACTATATTATTGTTCCACACCTAAAAAGAGGATGTTTTTCATGTCAAAAAGATTAAAAATAGTTGCTACTTCATAGAACACAGGCTAAAAATCAAGAAATTTAGAGGTATAGAAAAATAATTGTTTGTTGTATGGAAATAGGTCCGTGACAAATGAAACATTTTAAACCAAAAATTACTAAAAGCAGAACAACAGTTAGAAGCTTAAGTGTACTTCTTAAATTCATATAGACTTTTTGCCACAGAAGATCAAAAGCCGAACAAAGAAGCATCAGCTTAAGTACAGGCTCATTTATATATAGATGTCATCCTGGCAGACCATGAACAGCAACCAATATCAACAAGGAATTTACTGTACTAGCATTTCTGACATTTGGGCAACACTTTGAACACAGCTGCCGATAATTTTCCATAATTGTATAATACTGTTACAATGGTTACCTTATCTGCATTTATGCCTATAACTATTGTTGTTTTTGTGAAGCAGTTTTGAGTTTAGGATGTTTAATTTGTTATTGTATTTGACATTTTTTTTTTTAAATGTATGATGCATATTAATACATTTCAAAGAACATGACTTCAATGATAGTGTCACAGGGTGGGCCCATAACATCTCATTTCATACCACTAACAAATATTTTCTTATACCTTCCATTATGAATTATTTCCCAGCCAGCAAACTTCTGAATCACCCAAAAAATGTGTATATCTTTATGTATATTATAAATAATTAGTGAAGTTACACCTCTACCTGGTATATTTCATTTATACAAGATACAATTTTCAATCCCAAAGTCTCAGTTGAGAGTGTATGTCAGGTTCACAGGTTAACAGCCCAAATTTTATAGCTAAAAACCAAATTTTTGAAGGTGTTTTTTTTTACACAAATAAATAACATGTGAAGTGTATGGTAGAATCTCAAACATAAATACACTACTTTTGACATTTTAATATATCACACTTAATGATTTCTGTCACAAATGGAAATCCAGATACACAAAAGTCAGTAACAGGTTTAATATTGATATGTTTTTAAGAGTAATTTTAGGCTTATTGGTTTTCCAGTATTTTGCTGGCTTTAAGTGCTTAACCCATAACTTTTAAATATAAATAACGTTCCATAGAATATTTTTTCTCTCATCATACAGCCCAACTGATGAGTTCTGGTATTGAATGAAAAGCTTATTGGACAGTGATCTGTGGGAGACAAAGTTTCAGATATAAAAGACTGTTTAGTATAGGCAGTATTATTAATTAACTTATTTTGTGTTTATACTTCATTGATGTTGAGACTATTGAATGTTGTGTTAGCAATCCCTTGATGCCAAGGGTATTGAAATTTCTAGAAGGCCTAATGATAGACTTATAAATAGCTGCAATCAGATGAAGGGCAACAGAGAGAGTAAAAGTAAAGTCATGTGTAAGGGAGGTTTGGTGAGAGAAAAGTTAGAAAATGCAAACTTAACCATCGTAGAAGTGAAACATTAACCCTAATTTTTGATACAGTTATTGTTAGTACTTTATTAAATTATTTATTTATTTCAAATATTCAATTAGGAACATAAAATAATATATTGCACAAAAAGTACAATGTTTTATAGCTATTATTATTTCATTAGCTTTCTAAATAAGCTGTAAGTGTGTTAAAATATCTCCCTCACCATGTTCATGGTGAATGTGGCAATTGCAACTTCAAATCTGTAGGCCGATTAATTTGTCATCAGAACAAGCTAGTATTATAAGTAATTAAGCAAATTAAAATCTTCTTTCTACTGGTTGTAAATAATAATGTAATAGCAAATGCCACAGAGAATTACTGACATTTCTAGAAAGAAAGTATGTGATAAGATAGTGGGGCATTAGCATTAGAGTTTCTGGTTTATTATATATCTCTCTCTCTAAATCAAATGATTGGAGGCTTTAAAGTTAAGGGTAAATTTGAGCAATATCTATACTATAAGTTTATAATTTGTGTTATAACTAAGAAGCTCAAATATGGGAGGAAAAAATTCTAAGGAGATTGAAAAAGAACTAATATCCTGTGATACACTGAAGACAGAGAATTTATTTAAATATTTCCTTTTGAAATTAAGAAATTAAAACTAATATAACATTAATATTTTGTTCATTAATTACATTTGAATGCCAAATTGATAAATTGATAATTAAGTTGTAAAATGTCCTGACGTGTGCACTTTGACCCATACCTATACACATAGGGTAAATCAAGTTCTAAAGATAATTGTTATTAGAATAAAAACTTCTCAGTTATTTTCAAATGAAAATGGCAAATTCATTTTCAAGATGTGCAAGTTCATATTATGCTTTTTATGCAGTTATGCTTTTTAAAATTTGTGTTTAAAAATATTTCTATTCAAATAGTCTGGTTTTCTTAAAAATATTAAAATGCATAAGCTCATTTATTATAAAACTGTCAAGTTTGTACCTCAGTATTAAATCTTAATTCACTTTTTACTGTGAAGCTACAACTTACCTTCAAATATTATTATTCACTTTACTACTTATAAATCATTTTACCTTGTAAATAGAAGGAACAAAAAACTAATTTAATAAAATGTCAACAGACCTGGACTTTTAGGGGAGAATTCACATTCTTCCGATAGAATATAGCACTCAAGTTCCAGACTGGCTCTAGGGTATCTTTGCAAACATGGCTTCTCACACTTTCCCCTTCACACTTAACAATGCAGTATGGATCTGCTGCTGCAGAGAGAGATTATTCCAACACTATATCTTACAATCATGAGAAAAGATGATTTTATATTAAATGTTTTACACTAACAAGTTACTTTCTATTAGAAAAAAAAGGAAAGCTTGCAAAAGTTGGTATACAGAAAATAATTTACATTAAGTAAAACAATTTCTTAGAGAAACAACATGTATTACATAACAGATTCATCATAAAAAAAATAATTAAATACCAAAACCTACTGCCAAATCTGTCTTGTTTCTCCAGGCCTGACGCTCCTCGTACAGTGATTTTTGTAACGAGTGATGGATAGCTGATGCAAGGCCATAAACTTTGAGATGGTGTCTCAGCAGTCATTTCTCTAGAGTAAAAATCCAACAAATTACTTGTGAAACACCTCAAAGAAGTAAAGTATGTTATATTAACAGTTAAAAATTAGATGTAAAATGTAGAAAAATATAACTGTACTAGTTATCAAGCCTTAACAATCTGGTACATACACCATTTATTAAGAATGAGAAAATGAAAATTTTCCAACAACTTAGAAATTTTGAATGAGTATTTTACACATTTATTAACCAACTGAAGAATAACAAATAAAATTGAAAATTAATTATTCACACCTAGCATCTGATTCTTTGCTGGTGAAAATTCGCATCATAAAGTCCCCGACAATTTCAGGCTCAAATGTACTTGGAACAATCACATAACGTCCTCGATTTAATGTACATCTAAGAAAAATTCCTCTTGTACGAATGTAGTCAGATGTGGCAGCTCTTTCCATGATAGTATGAAGTCTGTACTTCCTGTTTACTTGCACCTAGCAAAAAGAGAGAGAAAAAAAGGTATGGTGAAAACTCTAGTAAGTAACCACACTCAAAAATATTGTTGCTTAAATAAAACTTAAGCAAGAGTCATGTAACATCAGTATGCTCATGTGCCTTAAACACTGTATTCAAGTTATACTGCATAGTGTTTACCAATTTTACTTGTTAATTTTAATTGTATTACTATTACAATTCTAAAACAATATATATATAAACTTGTATACAAATTTAACATATATATATATATATGTAAATTTACATATTAAACACAGGCTACTTTAATACATTTTCAACATTACCATGTGCAAATTCGTTGAATATGAAGATATAGACTTCTGTCTATTATTGGTGAATATTGAAAATGAATGAAATATTGTAATTCTTATTGCATGCTTACAAATTCAGGCCAAATTTTTAATGTTTTACAAATCTTCATAACTTGGCCAATTTAACTTAACAACACAAACATACTGCGATATGTTTTCCAATGTGAGTTTAAGTAATATGTTAGACTTGTTCCCAATCTAAGTAATAAATTTTACAAGATTTACAAGAATCTGGAATATGAGTGTGCTAAACATCCAGAGACATTTAAGAATCTACTTACAAAAGTCATGCAACTTAGTGACTCAAAAAAACAACAACAAAAAAACACATATTTTAAGGCTTCTTGAGTGACAAAGAAAGGACAAGCATAGAGTACAAATGACACTGTCTTAAGAATAAAAAAAAAAGACAGAAGTCCATAAGAAGCACAATGTCAAGACATTAACTATCTGTTAACAAAGAATATAATAGCTATTATGTAAAGAAAATAATTTTTCGCCCCACTGGCTAGTACAATCAATCCCTTAGCAATTTACTCAGCTGTACTCACCACCTTTCTACAATAGATTTTACTATTATTCAATGCCAAACCTTCAATCTCACTTACTTCTTCCTACAGTACACATATTGATAAAATTATTCAAAATATGTTCCACAAGATTTTAATCACTATTGTACAATATCACAGAGAGTATAAATGCAATAATCTAATGCAAGTTGTAAACACATACTTTCATGAAGCTGGTTTCTAGTTGTCTTTACACCTTTTTCTGACTACTGAGAACTGAATTTATGAATAGACAAACAAGCTTGATATAAAATCATCCGCACTCAATGACATGTTAAGTCTGAATATGAACCTTCAACTTGGTACTGGTATGTACACCATGATGTAACACCATTCATGGTTTTCTCCATTACCTGTATATGTAACCATCCACCTCCATCTAACTATAGTCATTAGAAACCCACATAATCTGTGACATTCAACCATATATAGATCACCAAAAGATTAAAATCAATGGTTAACTAAAACAGTTCAATAAGCACTACTGGTTAAAGTACTTCTATGTACTGGTTACGAATGCTTTGGTTGTTAAACTGTACTTTTTCCAAATCTGAGCTGTAAATTTTATAGGATTTATAAGAAATCTGGAATATGAAGGACATTTAAGAATCTACTTACAAAAGCAAGCAACCTAATAACTCAAGAAACAAAAACATATATTTTAAGGTTTCTCCTTTAAACATGAGGAGACATAGAATAATAAAAGAGAAACTTAAAGTATATGCAAACAGAGAAATCAGTCACAGCTGAACCTTCTTACAACTTCAGATACATATTTCAATGGTATTGTTAACAACAGAAACTAGGAAAATTAGTTTAACTTATAAATAAACCAAGCATTAAATGAGATCACAGTTTATAAACTAGTAACCAGCAGTACATGGAATTCTATCCTATAAAATATGTACAGATGTCAGAGTCTGAGCTCTCCCTCAAGACTGAGATACATGTCTTTAATACTGATTCTTTATTTTTTATGAAAATCTCTTATCCATTAGTTTTCAAGATATATTATCTTTATATGCTAAGTTGAAAGTTCATCTTTAACAGGCTATGCATAACAAACCATGTGGTAAGATAATCTAATCAAAAACACCTTAAGTAAAAAAAAAAGGTGTGGGCAAAAAGGATTGAGTATGTGACTTAAAGAAATGAAATAAAAATTGGCAGCCAAACTGGTAACTACACTTATAGCACTGATAAGAATTTTACAGCAAATATTCATTCATTAGTTAGCCAGGCCGCATATTTTGTTCAACTTTGGTCATGATGGTGGGTAAAACAAAATATGCTGCCTAGTTAACTAATGAATTATTATTTGCTGTAGAATTCTTATCAATGCTGTAAGTGTAGCTTTCAGTTTAGCCACCAATTTTGATTTCATTCCTTTAAGTCGCATGCTCAATGCTTTTTTGGCCACACCTTTTTTCACACCTAGGGTGTTTCTGATTAGATATCATGACTTTTTGTCAATACACACAAACAAACCAGCAAGTAAGAAAGTGACACTCAATAGTAACCCAAAATAGCTTTACGATCGCAACCCTATTATTTGAAACAGACCTACACTTTTCAGAACAAATCAGATTCTTTAAAATACACAGTACTGTGCAAAAGTGTTAGGACAAAGTCAAAAACTGGATTTCAGGCTACTTTCAAAAAACAATGGAAGGTAAATTACAGGTGAAACATCAAAATTTTATTCATTTTCATATTTAGTACAACAGAAACTCTGTGGAAGTGCTTGAGTTCAGCACTTGAGTTTGCTTTAATAACTACAAACAGGTCTTTCAGGCATAGTTGCAATATGTTAAGTCAAAGTGTCTT